TTCCTAGGGGCATTACTTCTTCCTTTACCACGACCTCCCCCTGAGTCCCGACCTCCACTCCGGCCACCAGCACGGTTAAACGTGGGACCACCACGGTTACCTGGAAGTCCACGACCACCACCACCACCTCTATTTCCACGGCCTCCCCCTCTAGTCACCACAAAACCAGATTTGTCTGAGAGAGAAGAATGCTCTATAGACTCAATTGATGTCTTCCTAAGATAGGCAAAAACTTCTTCAAGTGAGGGAAGAGCAAACCCCCCTAGTATTTGTGCTCGGACAAGCTCATATTCAGCCTTCAAACCTACTAGAAACCTTGTCACATCAAGTTGCTCACGCTGTTGTTGCTGAATATGAACATCCCATGTCAGAGGATGATACACATTGAGCTCATTTCGGATATTCCTTAGACTTGCATAGTATTCCTCCAAGCTTTGACTGCCTTGCTTCAGATTAAAGTACTCTTGGTACAACTAATACACCCTAGTTGTATTGTCTTGCCCGGAATACAGTTTCTTAGCATGGTCCCAGATTTCTTTAGCTGTATCTAGGAACATAAAGTTCACGCTAATTTTTTGTTCCATGCTGTCCTCACGTCCTGTTTTCTCATCAATCGGATGCCCATGTCCATCCTTGGAAGTCAATCCCCCTTCTCAGTGTTGTTTCCTACCTTGTCTTCGTTTCCTCTCACCCCAAGAGTCTTTGGATGTGTTTGTTTTGTTCAAAACTTGGGGCCTGGTTTAGACTAGTTAGATGCACGAGCTACTAAGTGTATCTTCCTTGGCTACTCAAGGACTCAGAAAGGGTATAAGTGCTATAACCCTAACTTCCATAAGTCATTTGTGTGCTCCGATGTCACCTTCTTTGAATCGGTTCCTCTTTTCTCGGATATTGTGGTTTCTTCTCCTTCCCCCGTAGTTCCTCTTCCCGTCCCTATTGCGGATCTCCTTCCTGTGGTTCCCATTCCAGTTGCAAATTCACCTCCCGTGCTAATTACTACTAAGAGGCCACCAATTAGACAAGTGTGTATACTCACAGAAGAGCACCGGCCCCTCCTCCAATTCAGCCCTCGTGGATAGATCTTGTCATTGCTTCTTCTCCCTTGGACCTTAATCTTCCTATTGCCCTGTGGAAAGGTAAATCACTTGTACTTCTCATCCTATTTCACACTATGTTTCAGTTGCTCACCTTTTTGCTTCTCGTTGCAACTTTATATCATTGCTATCATATGTTTCCATTCCCAAGACTGTCTAGGAAGCCCTTACCTCCCCAGGGTGGCGGCAAGCCATGGAAGAGGAACTCTCTGCTCTACAACACAATCACACGTGGGAACTCATTGCTCTTCCTCTTGGTAAGCATGTTGTTGGGTGTAAGTGGGTCTACACAGTGAAGTATCTTCCAGATGGCAGTGTGGAGCAATTGAAGGCCAGGTTAGTGGCCAAGGGCTATTCTCAGCTGTACGGTGTG